CGTGAAACACCCAAGACAAGTAGCCATGGATTTTATTTTGAGTTTACCTCTGAAGAAAAGAAAAAAACAATTGGCATATATAATCCCCATATCATCTCGATGACTTCAAGGCAAATATTATTCTTCACTTGAAAAAAGGAAGAAATCGGCCATGGTTTCCTATAAAAAAAATTCTTGCAATTTTCAACGACTGCGATTTTCTGAAATATACGCCACTCATAATTTACTTAAAATTGCATTGAGCCTCTGACAAATTCCTACAGAAAATTGCCAAAAAAATGGTTGGAATCTTTGAACAATTTCAACAAGCTTTATATTCTAGACCATTTTATTTTTATTTTTGGCCACACAAAATTTTAAAATGTAACAGATTTTATCATGTGATATTTAAACACAGTAATTTGATTAAATACTTAGTGAGCTAAAATCCTTTTGATCATCAGTATGAACTTCTAGGTTCATATGATGGTTCATACACTTTTTCCATCATTCCAACAACAGCAGTCAGCTTGCAACCCATGCAGCAGAAGATAAGAAAGTAACAACTTTTCCTTTCTATATACAGCAGGTAAAAATTCATGTTGGGCAATGAATGGTAAAATGTCCTTTAAGAGAAGACAGAAGTTTTTTATTATTTTCCCAGGATTTTTTCCCTCTACTCTGCATTGGTTAAATTTCATTTGGTAGAAATTCTAATTTACCTATAGTGAGATCAGCAAAAAATATTGTTTATTTCAGACTTGTTATTGTTCAAAAATGCATGTTATTTTTATACATAATATGTGACAGTCTTGAATGAGGTATAATGCGTATGTTATTAGTATAAACTGTATACTGTACAAATATATAGAGTCGAAAGATAAGTTCATGTCGCGAGGTCAGCGAGTTATTGTGCAGGCGGTGACATCTGGGAAAACTAGAACCAGAAGAAAAATCAGCGTTTGCACCTTTCGACTCTTGGTGGGATACTCCATCAAACTAAATTTATGTGACAGCTCATGAAAAAAGTACCTGTCACTTTCTAATTTACAATTTTTACTTTATTTTGAATATTCATAACTACAATACCATTTTTTAAACAAAAGCTATGAAATGGATTTGAAGCATGAATTGTGTGGAGATACGTATGAATTTCATTTGCTGTAGCTTGGACAGTATATAGAGGGTGGGCCAAAACAAAGTGAACCGTTTTTTAACTTTAAATAGCTTGGTGGCGAATTAAACTATGACAATGGAAATACAGTAGCACCAAATGAAACCTTGTTTAATTCTCTTTCAAATGGTGTGTGGTTGTATATAGTTCCAAGGGCCACAGAATGGTCACAATGACCATTTGAATGAAAACTTTAAAAAAATGTTTTTAGGCAAATTTTTCCACTTAGTTGCTGATCTGGAGAGCTGTTTGCATGAATAAAGGAGATTCAGGATGCAATAAATTAACCAGAAAAAACTTCATGCAGCCTTGGAGAGCCTGCTGCACATGTTACCAAAATTCAGAGAGAGGGGGTGGAAATGGGGAAGGAAATTGGCAAGATTAATTGGATGCTGCTGGGCTCCTGTGGTGCACATCTGCTGCTGGTCTCTTGCATGCAGTTCCTGGTGACCCACTGCATGCACATACAGTATTTTTTTTGGATTACTGGATTGCTGAAACATGATTGTAAGTAAAAATTATTTTGAATTAAACTGATTTTCATTGACACATTTATTTATAAGAAATTGCCGAGTTGCCATGCGTATTTTTAAAAGTGGAGATGTTAAAAGTGGACTTATTATTGTCTCTGATCACAGATTTCATAATAAAATAGAACAATCACACACACACAATCAGCAAATAATCTCATTGCATATTGTGCAATAGAAACATGCTTCCAAAATAAAATAAAATCAGCAAAAAAAACATGCTTTGCTTATGGCATAACTCCTATAATATGAAAACTTCCAGAGCAAATTTAACTCAGCAAATTTTAGACTTGAAAAATTCTGCAATATTTCAATTTAAAGCTGAAGATGTTTTTCTTTAACTTTTCTCTAATCATTCATCAGGAATGCATTTTGTAATATCCTAGATTATTTTAGAATATGCATTCATTCTAAAAAAAAAAAAAGAACCCTCTCACTTCTTCATAAAAACATCAGCAGCTAAGATTTAAAGTACAGTAATTCATTAAGTTTTGCGGCTTTCGGCGCTTGCAGTGCAACGTGGTTGAATATTTGGGATGGATCAGCGACTTATTTCTTACAAAATATTGTAGATGTCATCGTTACTAACGACCGGCACGATAAATAATACAACAACGTAAAGTAGAGTGACAGGCTTCCAACAACCAGCAGAAGCATGTCACCGCTCCGTCAAAGAGTCATAATTTCTCAAAATGCTTGAAACTTATTCTTCAAAGTTTTATGGCTCTCTTTTGTCCATATTGCTCTTTTGATGTGAAAGCAGATTTATTGGCATCACAGATTTTGGCAGCTGCATGGACTCTGATGCTCAAGCAGAAATGCTTTTCTCATTTTCTGTGAATTGATGTAACATTTCCTACCAATTGGGTTTCTTGCTTCTCACATCAGCCATCAGCATAGCATGGATTGAGGTTTTTCAACGAAGACAAGTCTGATGCTGCGCCTCGAGGGGCGACCTCTGTGCAGTTGGCCATGCTGGCTATTACTAAACTGAACCCATGTGACTGAATGAATTCCTTGTGGTCCATCCATGTCCGCGTTCTGCCCTTGTTCTACTATCCCGCCAGCAATGTGAATAGCTGCAGCTGCCCGCGGGAGCAATTAAATTCGCGTTCAGATTAGTCGTTCCGTGGGATTTCCAGGCTTGGGCCTTGAATTGTTGGTGTTCGAGTTGAGACAGTGTTAAACGAGGTGTCGGAATGTATGGTTTGGCTAAATTTTGAAACGGCATGGCGGTGTAATTTTTTTTATTCTGCTTGAGTACATTGGCTAGGTCCGAATCTTCTGATCCGTTCGCGCTAAAGCGATGAAGTGGAATATGTTGATAGCGGATGCTTATAAGTTTGATTCATCATTGTTCTCCTTTCGAGGATTCCGATGCATCCAATTAAATGTCGGTATTCGTAGCAAGCGAGGGAGAATTCGCGAAAAGAACTCATATTCTGCGATGATTTTTTAGTTCCGCAGTATAATAGTTTCCGTGTGCATTCGACCGTGGAAGTTTCTCGAAATCACGGACTCGGAATGAGTTCTTTGTTCCAGCAGCAGCAATTTTTAACTTGTTAGGTAGTGTTCAAGATTGTGTGCATTGAATTGATGACTACATTCAATTTTGCAAGTTTGTAGAATCGTGTTATATTTCAGAAAGTGTGGCTGCTGCCTCCGAGTAATTCCTCGTACTCCGGGGCTTCAACCTCGACAATCCTTTTTTTCGGTCCGTAGTTCTCGAANAACTTCCAGAGCAAATTTAACTCAGCAAATTTTAGACTTGAAAAATTCTGCAATATTTCAATTTAAAGCTGAAGATGTTATTCTTTAACTTTTCTCTAATCATTCATCAGGAATGCATTTCGGAATATCCTAGATTATTTTAGAATATGCATTCATTCTAAAAAAAAAGAACCCTCTCACTTCTTCATAAAAACATCAGCGGCTAAGATTTAAAGTACAGTAATTCATTAAGTTTTGCGGCTTTCGGCGCTTGCAGTGCAACGTGGTTGAATATTTGGGATGGATCAGCGACTTATTTCTTAGAAACTATTGTAGATGTCGTTACTGACGACCGGCACGATAAATAATACAACAACGTGAAGTAGAGTGACAGGCTTCCAACAACCAGCAGAAGCATGTCACCGCTCCGTCAAAGAGTCATAATTTCTCAAAATGCTTGAAACATATTCTTCAAAGTTTTATGGCTCTCTTTTGTCCATATTGCTCTTTTGATGTGAAAGCAGATTTATTGGCATCACAGATTTTGGCAGCTGCATTGACTCTGATGCTCAAGCAGAAATGCGTTTCTCATTTTCTGTGTATTGATTTAACATTTCCTACCAATTGGGTCTCTTGCTTCTCACATCAGCCATCAGCATAGCATGGATTGAGATTTTGTCGAGGAAGACAAGTCTGATGCTGTGCCTCGAGGGGCGACCTCTGTGCAGTTGGCCATGCTGGCTATTACTAAACTGAACCCATGTGACTGAATGAATTCCTTGTGGTCCATCCATGTCCGCGTTCTGCCCTTGTTCCACTATCCCGCCAGCAATGTGACTAGCTGCAGCTGCCCGCGGGAGCAATTAAATTCGCGTTCAGATTAGTCGTTCCGTGGGATTTCCAGGCTTAGGCGTTGAATTGTTGGTGTTCGAGTTGAGACAGTGTTGAACGAGGTGTCGGAATGTATGGTTTGGCGAAATTTTGAAACGGCATGGCAGTTCGATTTTTGTATTCTGCCTGATTACATTTGCTAGGTCCGAATCTTCTGATACGTTCGCGCTAAAGCGATGAAGTGGAGTATGTTGATAGTTGATGCTTATAAGTTTGATTCATCATTGTTCTCCTTTCGAGGATTCCGATGCATCCAATTAAATGTCGGTATTCGTAGCAAGCGAGGGAGAATTCGCGAAAAAAACTCATATTCTGCGATGATTTTTTAGTTCCGCAGTATAATAGTTTCCGTGTGCATTCGACCGTGGAAGTTTCTCGAAATCACAGACTCGGAATGAGTTCTTTGTTCCAGCAGCAGCAATTTTGAACTTGTTAGGTAGCGTTCAAGATTGTGTGCATTGAATTGATGACTTGTAAGTTAAAACGTTCAAACATCTTAGCACAATATAAAGTCTTTCACACCGACGACGGAGGCTCATTAAGGAGCATGAGGCCCCGAAGTTGGAGCTGTTAGGAAAAAAAGCCAGGCATCAAGAGCTTAGTACTTAGATTTTCAATCAATCATGACTGACACAGCTGGATTACCGCGCAGAATCGTGAAGGTACGTTTTTGATGCTTCTTCGACCTAAACTTGTGGATCATGGCATTTTTGTGTCGTTGCAGGAAACTCAAAGACTCATGGCCGAACCCGTACCGGGCATTAGCGCTATTGCCGACGAGAGCAACGCAAGATATTTCCATGTTGTTGTCGCTGGGCCAGATGGATCACCGTTCGAAGGCGGTGTTTTCAAATTGGAGCTATTCTTGCCAGAAGAATACCCAATGTCCGCTCCGAAAGTCCGATTCCTCACCAAGATTTTCCACCCGAATGTAGACAAGCTTGGCCGCATTTGTTTGGACATTCTGAAAGGTATTTTTTCTCTGAACGTGTTGTCTTCACATTGACATCGTCTGATCGTCTGATGGGTCGAAATTGGGAGAAAATTGTCCTGAGATACATCACTGAATGACCAATTATATTACCGGACTGTAATTTTTGTCTGTTTTTTCCTCCATCAGAGATGTAACATTAACGAATTCTGTCAGAGATGGAATGCATGAACAAAGTCGCGACTTTCCGATGCACGGAATACGACATCGAAAATCACTAAGGACAATTGTCATTGTGCAAATTAATTTCGGCAAAGATCGTGATTACTGTATTCCTCAATTACGCTACATAAAAGATGTGCAGATGATCTGTTAAAAAATTAATTTTATTGTCAGTCGATGATATAAAATGAGTTTTTTTCTCCAAAAAATTAATTGACGCGTCGAACGAGGAAATCAGTGGTGGAAGCTTATTGAGAATCATTTCCAAGGTCGTGATGTGAAATGTTCTTTCTGCAATGTGTGTGCGTTTCTACGGTCGCTGTCTGAACTTGTTTTTCGTGGTTTACCAGATAAATGGAGCCCGGCGCTCCAAATCAGAACCGTGTTGCTGTCGATCCAGGCCCTGCTGAGTGCTCCGAATCCAGACGATCCTTTGCAAAATGACGTGGCGGAATTGTGGAAAGTGAACGAGGCCGAGGCTTTGCGCAATGCTCGGGAATGGACGCGTTTGTACGCCGGCGGTAACTAATCCATGTCGCTACCTTCGCCTCCGGTGATACCCTTCTCTCGTCTTGTTTCGAGTGTTCGTGTGTGCGTGTGATGCAGCCGATGATTCCGTTGAGCGTATGGCGTATCTCGCTCCTCTTTCGCTGTCCATATTTCGCGAAAAACAAAAAAGTGTAGGTTTTAGACTGGCTTCGAAAACTGCGTTATTTATCTCTGCACGCGAGGGGGAATGGAATAAATTCGGTTGAAAGGTGTACAGTACACTACAACCCTTATTTCTTTTCATTAGGTGCCAGTAGAAGCTCACTAAAACGTTCGGCCCCTCTTTAGTGTCACTTGAATCACCTTGGAGATTTTAAGCTTGGAGGGATTCAACTTAACAAAGACTGAGGGACACACTTAGAGCAACCTTTTTGTGCATCGAAATACTTCCTGATTCGAAGGCTTTCCCCTCCAAACCTCCATAACTCGACTTTCCTGGAGGCCTTTTAGCTATTAGCTTTCCGACACAGGAAAAGCGATTAAAATGTGAAGATGTGTTTTGAATGGAAGTGAAAGACTTCACTGGGCAAGTACTGTTACCCCTTGCCTCCAAATTCATCATCCTGTCAACTCATTTATGAAGCAATTTAAGCCCAGAATATGTTATTTTGTTTTCCCCAACAAAATGCTCGTTTTCCTAATTCGAAACCTTCAAAACTTGGTTTTTTCTCGTCCCTTGAAGTTCGATTTGATGAGGTTCAACTTTAATGCATTTACCGATTCACTTACGGTAGTTTTGGACGCAAATCCCTGTTTTGTATCAGAATATACCATTATTTCTTCTCCTGCATAATTTCTAGGTTAATCTCGTCAGTCGTTAGTAGCAGAATTCAGTATCCTAAACTCTCCATTAAAATTATTTCAATATTCAACAGCTTCTGTAGACAGGAAGCAATGATGCTTCTACGTTTGTCTTCGGTCTGTAAGAAAATTCCTGGTCAACTTACAATATTCCAATTGCTTCTTAAAGTACATGACTTATGTAATCAGCTTCGAAAAAAAGAGAAGAAATTCTGTCAGCTAATTTTAAACGCTCTTTCATGACATTCAGTTTCTTCAGAATCGGGAGAGTCCGATAAATCCTGCTCCTGCACAATTTCCAAGATCAATTTTTTCTAAATATTGTGCCGTCGAAGTGGAAGTAATAATTAATTTTGTCGAATTTAGCAGTTAATTTTTTAGTACAGTACTCTGTTGGTTAAACGGATGCTTTAATGGAAACCTGAGACGTGTTCTGATCTTTTTTTTTTCGAAGAAGAGCGTCGGATGTCGGAAGTGAATGCGGTTTGATTGCGAATCTGAAGAAATCAGTGTTGATACGATGAATGAATTTCCAGTTCGTTCACTGTGATTACCCGTGGGCTGTCTGTCGATCATCCGAGACTTGTGATCCTCGAAGAACGAGTTGACTGCGATTCTCGTATTTCCAGAGCCAAAAATGCCGACTTTCGATTGGCTTAATCCGTACCCTCGGGAAATGTTCCCCGAAGTATCCGACGATGATCTCGAAATCATGACGGATGCTTTGCTGAAAACGGTCGACGGCATAGTGTTACTCAATCTGGACTCCATGGACGAAGATTTCATACTGGAATTAGTGGAAAGCAAGTTTGATAAGTTGTGTGATTGTTTGCCTGAATCCGTGCGCGTCGGTGACAAAGTGGAATACGGTACTTTGCTCATGAATGTCGTGAACAGTTGGAATCATTGGATCAAGTGTGGGACTCAGTACTTGAAGCAGGACGGTATGCAAAGAGTTCCGGCGAGCAAGGATTTCCGGTTAGTAACCCATTGTTTTTTTTGTTCAGTTTTTTTTTTTTTTTCGTTGCCAATCAATCCAACGACTGTCTGAACTTATCGAGGAAATTATTTCCCCATATTGTCTTGAAACCAAACCGAAGACTCAATGCGGAAGGATCCACGAGAAAACTTTTAGACGTGATCTCTATTCTGAAGATTTTTTTTTTCAAGTACTGTATGAAGACCCTCACGGATGTACTGTAGTACGCAACTTTATCTTAGCGAGTCGAATTTTGATTGAAAAAAGTACTGTATTCTACAATCTGGTAATTTTTTATAAGCATAAAAAGGGGCTAACACCGATTTTTTTTGCTTCGGACAAAGGACTGAAAGGATTTTCAAGAAAAACATGTTGAGTTGTTTGATGCTTTTTTAATCTTTTTTCGTGCGGATATAAGCTTTTTAACATAAATGATTTTATTGCACGTAGTTTCTAATCATTTTTTGCGTTTTTCTCAAATACTGAAATGAGTTTATTTATTATTTATTATTTTTTTTATAACGGAGTTTCGTTCGTAGTATGAAACGGATCGGGCCATTTCAGTACTCATTTTAGAGACGTATTCTGGAAGCGAATGTCAATTTTATAAGTAACCAAAGTAGTGGATCAATAGACTTCCCGCACAATTTTTTCTAGAAGAAAAATAGTCATACCTCAATAAGCCGCAATGATTTTTTTTTGCTGGTTGAAGGGGTTGATGGTTTATTTGAAACGCCAAAATAATATGAAAATCAAGTATGCGATGAAATATAATTCTTATTCTTCTAGAAAAAAAATTTTAATAACCCTGGGTTACATAAATTATATCTAACTAATGTTCCAAAGAAGTAAATCACTGTATGTATTTTTTGTCTGTGTGTTTTTTAATTGGAGACCTTCTGCAGAAATTTGAGTCATGTTGGTGGGGTATCGAAGAGATAGATGTTTGGGGAGCATGTTTGAGGTGCCAATAAATTCGGCGGATTGCATTTTAGCAGTGTTTCCAATGTTATCATCATTAGGGAAGATTTGTTTTTCAAAATAAATTGGCGGTTGCCGAGGATGGCGGCTTCTGAACGGCGTTTAACCATACCATTTGCAGTTCAGGAGAATAATTTTATGGTTTGTGGGACAGGTCTTCGTTTTGGTTGATGCTGGAACACTTCGACGTCAAGTCCCTGGCACTAGTCGCCCTTCTCTCGCAACTCATGCGTTTCGGGGCGTCCGAGGGCCAAAGCTTCACCCGCGGCGGTTCGTTCATGAAGGACCACGAACTCAGTCTCTACGCCTCCGCCGCCTACCTCCTCATGATCGGCACTCTCATCCCCGAAGACTCGGAAAACGTCAGAGTCACCTTCCAGACCATAGTCTTCAACCGTGCCCTGCAAAACTTGTTCAGTGTGCGCCACTATGTGTACCATGACGGGAAGGAGTCGATTGCGACGCTGGAAGAAGCCATGAAGACCATACAGTCGGTGGAGATGGGACTGAATGCCGCCAATTGGGCGTTGAAGTTTTTCCAGTGTGCCGGCGAAGAGCAGACGGAGTTCGCGTCGGATGTCTTTGTCACGATCACGCGGTTGATTTCATCTGCTTTCCGGCCAGAGAGCGAATTGGAAGACGTGGCGAAATCTTGTAATCGGGCTGCGTACAATTGCTTGCTGACCATTTACAGGAGAAGCGCGTCCAGTGGATGCAATCGTAAGGAGAGATTCCGAGAAATGTTTTTTTTTCTGAATGTTGGAAACTTGAGCGATGAAGCACTTATTTTGTAATTGAAGTGGAAAAGCCGGGTGCTTATACTGTAATCTGCATATTTATCTAATTCGCCTATACTGTACCACGCGCACCTTTTTTCTCAAATTTCAGAAGAAAAAGGGGTGCGCATCATAAGCGGGTACAAATTTTTCAAGAAGTTTTAGGAAGTTATGTGAGCATTATACTTAATTACAAGGGAGAAATATGGAAAAAATGTAACAAGAAAACTTTTTTGTCCTGAAAAAGTTGAAAATTGATCAGATTTTGTCTAAAGTCAATTTTTTGTTTTTATTTTCAAAATTTTGTGGTTTTAGATTCACTAAAAATTGGGTTGCGCGTCTTCCTTGAGGATAAGATTTTAGCCAAATTTCCAATTGAAAAACCCCTGTGCGCGCCTTACTTGAGGGTGCATGGTACTCAAGTAATTACAGAGTAAATACGGTAAATACCGCATTTACTTGAGTACCACATTCCCTCAAGTAAGACACGCTTCCCAACTGTTCACCCTAAAATTTTTGTAAAATCCTACCCTGACTAAAACGCGCACTCCATTCTCAGTTGCTAAAAAACTAAAATATAAAAAAAAAGATTTTCAGTACTTCAGAATTCAGATTGGAAGATGAATTCAACCTGAATTCAATTGAAATAATATTGAATTTTTCTTGCTATTAAAACCTTCCAGCCAAAAATTTACCATTATGTTTAAGTGTGATTCAATTTTATCCCATCCTATGATGAGCACCCCATTTTTCCTCCCAATTCTGAGAAGAAAAAGCGATCCAGCACTTCTTTCTTCAGTCCTTTTGGAATCGAAGTTGAAAATAATAAAGCAATGGTCAGCTTTTAGCACTTCAAAATGCATGAATCCTTGACTGAAGAGGCAAGAGCACGGTTGTGTGACACCGTTTTTCTTTCTCTGGGGAAAACTTGAATTTAGTCAGGAATTTTTGCTTCTTGGAAAGTCAGAGCACCAGGAAAGTGAGTGGGTGCTTGTATTCGCCTATTTATGGAATTTTGTGTATGCTAGACCTGGGAGGTGCTTTTATATTCGCGTAAATGTGGTATATAATGTATAGCTTTGCGTTACAAGCTTAATTGACTTGTAACTGAACCTTTTTTCAATGAACCGATGCACCTGAAAACTCCAAGAACCGTCGAATACCAGAGAAATTATTAGGACCATGAATTCGAAAAAAAAAAAAAGACGTGGTCAGTGGTGTGTATAGTTAGTTGCTTCTCCTCTTGAGAACAATACAGTACTTTCCTCCGGAATTTCGGACGCAGTGCGAGTGATTTCTGTGTCGCAGATGCTCGTTCCGACCACATTTTATGAATTGACGTGTTTTTTGTTAATTTGTCTGGATGTCCGGTTTCGGGAACATGTGGTAACTCGGATTTGAGTGCCGCTGAGTATCTTCGTGGTGTAAAAGGAGAATCTAGGTCACACGTGGGAATTTTTTTGGGCAGTCAAAAGTAAGGTGTACGAAAAAAAAAGTGATAGCGCAGAACTGCGAAATTAATGAACGAATGCAGTTGAACGCTTTCATTGCGAATTCCCTTGGACCCACAATACTTGAGGGAGTTTTCGAATGAGAGAGAAACTATCATTTCCGCTGGAAAAAGAACTGAAAAATTACAGGAAGTAAAATTTGTCCAATTATTCTTCCACTTCTTTTTGAAAATCATCAAGTTACATTTTTTAATGTTTTTATCTTTCATGGGTCGCCAGTATATTAGCTTAAAAGCCTCCGGAAATTGTAGTTATTGATGTTCGAACAGGGACACAGCAAAAAATTTGACTCATGGAGTTTCTTTTTGAATTTCGTGAGTTCAACTTATCAAGGTTCAATTAGCACAGGTGGCCTCTTTTTACAAACATATTCATAGTAAAATCAATTTTTTTTTGTGGTACCCGAAGGGTTTCTCCTCATTAAAGGGATTCTTCATAATAATATTCTCTTCACGACAACTTTTTATGTCCCCTTGAATTTCGTTGTAGAGGGATTCCACCCGTAGTAATAATTTAATGTGCTTGGAATGTTATACATGTGGACTCTTTTTACAACAATTTTTTGTGCGACGATTTTCTATGGCAAACCAAATTTTTTTTGATTCCATGGGGCTCTCTACGAAAAAATGTTCTATACATGTACTGTACAACGATTTTTTTTCTCGTGAGAGTCCACCTGTGTTCATGGTGGTAATTTTTTCCGTGGGAAAAATCCCGGTACCAAATTAAGTAGCCAGAATCTTCTTCCGACCCTGAGAATTTTTATTTACTTATTCCGGAAGTGTTTTCGAGAAAATTGGGTAGAGTATTTGGCGTGCGAAGCATAAGGATGTTTGTGGCCTCGTGATTGAAACCGTGTCCCGATTTTGCAGCGGAGAAGAAGCGGATCGTCATCAAGGGGATTTTGGCGCGTGTGGCGGGCTCCATCACCGGCAGCTTTTTCGGCAAAACTGAGTACGACCAGCGCGAAATTGAGTGCATGCGGATGCACGCGACCGACTTCCTCTCCGGCATGGTCAAGGAATGGCGAGGTTTCTCTCCCAAAGACAACATCATGTGGTTACTGCTGCTCCAAAAATTGACGACGAAAAGCGGGGAAAACCGCAAGTGAGTTCAGCCGAGTTTCTATTCAGAAACCGGGAGATTTTACAAACAAAAGCAAATTACGATGGGCCCCGAGTAACGAAATTAATCCCTTTCTGGATGCGTTTGTGATGCGAAAAAATATTTCTCCTGAGAATGCAATGCGAAAATTTCAATTCCTTTCCTAGATCCCGAATTGATAGGTTGAAAAAAGCCCTTTCTTCAGAATGAAAAGGTATACTGTACCTACTACTCGACTTTCATTTTAGTTGAAGTCATATGATATACGCTGTTTTTTATTTCATTTTTGTGAGAATCAGATCATAGAGTTGATCTTTGCACACATAGCAAACGAATGCCACCGCGTAAATAAAACATTTTTTGTAGATTAATCATGTTCATTTCTTGGCCAAGATTTGTTGGAAAGCTGAGGAGTATTTAGGAAAACATGAACACAGGTGAACTTTTCCTACAACGCAATTCAAGGGACCAGAAAAATACTCGTAGAGAGAATTTCGCTGTAGAGAACCCGTATACAACATGGGGAAAGAAACTGGGACTAGAAAAAATCGTTGTACGAAGAAAATCGTTGTTGACGTGATTGTTGTCGGGAGATTCCACCTGTAGCAGTTAATGTGACTCAGGGAAAGCTCAAAATTGTGCCCAGAAAAAAATTTTTAGCGCGAGGAAATTTTCTTCAATTGAGTCGTATTTTGTGATTTTTCCTGCCCGAGAAAGTTCGTAATGCAAAATTTTTGTTGTACGGTACAAAACTTCATTTATGCAGGGAATCATTGTATACTCTAATCACATTCACGCTCTGTTAGTCTCCATTTTCTGGATCTAAAAGTAAATTCGGAAATATTTGTTTAAAGAGTTGCTGATTTATTTTTTTTCTTGTAAACTCCCGAGAGTAATTGAGTTAATTTTTAGTTGAACCATTTGCTATAACTTAACTGAAATAAATTGAATCATTTGAAAGAAAATAAATTCGAAATAATGTGTTGGCTCCGGCAATGTTGTTCCAGGCCCCCCAAAAAATCCGTATGTGAAGCTAAAAGTAATTTATCACCATATTTTAGATCCCTTGGGCATGCAGTGTTGACAAATCATGTTTAAATTACTGCAGAAATGTATCTTGATATTGAAATCTCTTCTCATGCTATCTATTGTTTGAAGCTGAAAGTAGGTGTCTGACTGTCCGTCCAAATCCTTGGTAAAAAAAAAAAAAAGATGTTATGCGAGGCGTCCATTAGTTCGGGGTACCGCGGTGCCAAATTTAAAACCGATTTTTGACCTCTTTTTTTCCTCTGCAGGAAACGCATTGCCAATTCCATCGTTAACTTACTCGGCTTCTGTAAACCGGAGGTGTGGATGTCCTTTTTGGGCTGGTTGCTGGGCATTGGACACGGAAACCTTGTTTCTGTTCGCTTGCTCGCTGTGGAAGTCACGGGTTTGCTGTTGTTGGACGGAGACTCGTTATTTCCGTCTGACTTTTCTGCGATGCCCGTGGCCCTGGTTGCGCGGTGTTGTCTCGCCACCGGGTTCCGGATCCCGCCGGTGGAAGAGGAGGCCCTGAAGGGGTTGGATGCGATTGCGGCTGCTGAAGAGAAGGTGTGATCTTTTTTGTCCGATGAGTGTCAAGGATCTTGTTTGTTTGCAAAATGTAATTCCGCACGTTTGAGTCGTGGATCGACGTTGATTTTCTTTTCTCTTTTGCGGTTAGCATCGAGTCTTGAAGGGAGCAATTGGTCAGCAATCTGTTCCTCCTTGATCATGACGTTAATCGTGGTCGAATTTTCCTTTCAATCGGGGATTACCAACGAGCTAATGAAGAAGAAAAAAAAACTGCTTGAACGTCACTCCGGACGAAAGAAAAAAAGTAGACCGCGAAATTTTGTCTAATTTCTCTGACGTGATTTTTACCGTTGCAGTGAATCCCCGCATATTGAAAAACTCGCGCCACGAAAAATTCACGTGACGAAAATTCTCAAGGGGGAAAAGCTACTCAATGTTGCATATCTCAACATTTTTTCGTGTAACAAATTTTTTTGCGAAAAAAGCGTGAATTTCGTGAAATTTTCATTGAAGCTATGCAATTTTTCCAAAATTTTAGGGGAGTCAGAAAAGAAGAGTGTAGTTTTGCATCTTCCTGTACTTTAAATTCCTGAATTTCAGAAAGTTATGAGCAAGAGTTGGCAGGACTAGTTCAGTTTTATGCTGAACTATATTAAATTCACAATTTACCGAATTGTATGATTTATTGCGGTCTTTTGGTGAGTGTGTTTTACCAATTAAAAAGTCGTCTTCAAAGAAAATGCGTCTCTCGTAAGAAAATTTCTGCATGACGAAGCTCACCCAGGAATGGAATAGTTTCGTTATGCGAGGACCCACTGTACTGTACTAGAAATACGATGAATTTGGTTCCGTATTGCGACTGGTCCTGTAGGATTTATAATTCCTCTTTCAAAACTGTCTCATGTTATTTTTATTTTTTTAAAGGCTGTGTTGGACTGGGAAGGTCACATCCGTGCCCGAGGCAACAAGAGAAAAGAACCACAACGCGGTCAGACGACCAGTCTCCCAGACGACGCCATTGCTGCCCGCTTGAACCACGAAACCGAAGACGAAGAGGAAATGAGTGTCAATCAACACGAACGTTTGTCCAGCGTCATCACGGAAGAGCCGTATGTCAGTATATTTTTGGGCAACAAACACGCCTTGTGCACGGATGCCGTGGAAACGGACATGATTTCCTTCATGGAAGGCGTCGTGTGCCGGAAATTGTTTTTGTATATCCTGGGACGGTTGAGAGATCCGTCTATCGAGGTTCAGTGGCATGCTTTGTTACTGCTGATCAAGTGCTTGTCGAATGACGGGAATAAGGTGAAGAAGATGGCCGAGGAAATTCTGAGGGTGAGGCACTGAGGAATTAATTTATATTTTCTTTCGATTGATGGATTTGTTTGCGTTATGCTATCGGTTTCCCAAGTCAACGCCTGATGTCCTGGACTCAGTTTTTGTTTGCTGCTGCAATGCATAGATGTCGTCTGAGTGTTATTCAGTTTTATTTTATGAAAGATTCACTGTACGCGAATTTCAAGGGACCAGTAGAAACATCCGAGTTAGGGAGGTTTCGAGGAAGGTAAACATGGATTCTTGTTGGAAAAAAAATAATAATTGCAGGAATATGTAATCGGGGATATTCTGGGTCTCAATTTGCTTCGGGTTGCTGAAGTTGAAAGCAAGGATTTATTTGTTCAATTAGTCTTTCACTTCCTTTCAAAACACGCCAAATTACATTTTTATGGCTTTTCTCTTTCGCGTGTGAATAAAAAAAAAGAAAAACCAAACGGTCCCCAGAAACTTCGAGTTGTGGAGGTTTAGCCTTCGAGGAAAGAGCAAAGGTTAGTTTCAATAAGGTTACAGATCATTGATTTAGGCCACGTCTATTTGTCGTTACAAAAATCAAGTGCCCAAATTAGAGTGCAAGGAACCTGTTCATTCGATGAAAATCCTCAATACATGTGAAGTCGAGTCGTAGCATGTATCAAGCAGGGTACATTCGTCTTGTTTTGATGTTTCATACGATTTGATTTTCGATTCCTCGACACTTGAAATGGCGAATTGACGTGTCTACTTTTTTTTCGATTAAAGGACGCTATTGAAGAAGATGAGAGCAAGTTGGAACGAAGGCATTTACGTTGGACGGGACGATCGAGCAAATCGTCGAAAAACCCGGAGAAAATACCTATGATGATGGCAGCGATAGCGGAGATTGAAAAAGAACAAGGCCTGAAGTATGTTGGAATCCATGTGGATAAGAAAGCGAAGGGTGGGAACAGAAATCCCTGCAGTTTTGAAACTATTAGTTTTGTTCTGAAAGTGATTTTTTTCACTATTTCCTTCGCATGGAAATTTTCTGTGTCACGCCGGTGTCGCCTGAATAAAGTCACAAAAATGGCCGAAAATAACCTCGGGAAGCTCTGAAGTTGTCGTGAATTCATCGACAAAACAGACATTCCTTCGTTCGGAATGGCGTTCAAGCTAATGTTTCAGCCTTTTTTTAATCCAATCGTAGGGAAAAATTGAAGAAGATTAACGTCGTGGGAAAGGATGAGGAACAGATTGTTTTGTAAAGCCTCTTGCGCTGTCTACCATCCGTCATAAATCAATCCTGATCTAATTACAATGGCCGTGTAAAGGAGTCCTTTCTATATATAGTATATGTGTGTTTTTTTTACCGATAGTGATCCACTGATTGCCCGGAAAATGATGGAAGTCTTGCTACAAATGGCGAAGCACGATTCGGCCAACATCCGTCGGTCCGCTCTGTTGCTGCTCATGAAAATCTTCGAAATGGTGCGGGAATACGCTGTGTTGTTTCACGGTGGAGCATTGATGGCGGAACGAAGCAAAGACAAGTCCGTCTCAGTCCGGAAGCTCATGATCAAGGGTCTGCACGAATTCCTCTGCAGTGACTCTGGGGACCCGCGTTTCAGAAGAGCCTGGGTCATGGGAGTCTTGCCGCGTGCGTCCGACACGGAAGAGACTGTGCGGAAGGACGCCATCGAGGTGAATTTCTTGAGACTCGATTTATTTCTGTTGTATAGTACAGTTGAACTGCCATCTTTCGAATCCCTGTATGAATTAATTCCCTTAGAAACAGTGCTTTGAAAAATCTCCCTATCCTGAAGGCTTTCTTCCTCAAACCTCCGTAACTCGAATTTTTTGGACCCTTTTGACTTTTATTTTATTGACACAGGAAAGAGAAAAGCAATGAAAATTAAACCTAATTTGTTTGGGAAGGAAGTAAAAAAAATTGGGCGAATGAACCCTGGCATCCTGTCAACTCCTTCAAGAAGCAATTTAAGACGTAGAATATCACCAATTATAATCCCTGTAATTAATTTTTTCCTTTCCGCCAACACAAATGCTTGTTTCCTTAATTTATAATTTTCTTGCTGATCCCTTGAAGCTGACTGTTTTACAGTGGTTAACTTCATTACAGACGCTTTGCTCCATTTTTTCTGTTTTTTGTAAGAAATACTCGCTGAGACTAATGATTTGTGTGTGGTAAAATATTTTATCAATTATGAACTGTGAGGCTGAGGGTCATTCTCGAATTATTGTGGTAATAGTGGCTCTCTTCGCATCATGTTTCAAACTGATGGATTTAAAAAAAAACGGTTTTTCTCGGTTCAGAGTGATTCTGTTGTTCTGCGTTTCCCGACTTTAGAACAGCTTCAAGATGTCGAAGAACTCTTCAAAAAGCCTTTTCGCTAATGTATTACTGTATTTTTTTGGCGTGCTGGAGAATGGCTTCCTGTCGCGACATTCTTTTTTTTTGTAATTTAATCAAGTGTCGAACAAAAGTTCTCGATCCGTTGATCACTTTTGTTTTTTTTTAATTCAGAGCATTTACCACGTGATGTTGGGGGAAATCAAATCTGGAGACTACACGAGTCTGAATGACACGTTAGCCGTGGAAATGCTTCGCTTGACGGACAAGCTTAAAATGAACCATCATCTGGAAGACGCTGTTAAACGATGGAAAGAGAAGAAACTTTTAGAGTGAGTTGGCGAGATGTAATACAGTATTCATTCCTTGTTGTTGTGATGGTTTTCGTAATTTGGATTGTTGTAGGAAACCGAAGGAATTTTTCGACCTCGTGAACGCACTGGGCACGGAGAAGATGAAAGGAGCCGAGGACGACTTCATGACGTTGATTGCCTTGTTTGCGGAAGTCGTGTGGGACATTCCCGTCGACGTGGCATCCGCTTTGGTCACCTATGCCATGGGCATTCTCGAATGCCCCTGGAATGTGTGTATATTTCAAGAAAATACTGTACCGTGCAACGTTTTGAAGCGTCGCCCCGATAGCAGAATGGGGAATTGAATCAACATTTTCATGTCAACTATACGGAGTATCGAGAGTTGTGAAAGTTTGACTCGTGTCATTGAACTGGTGGAAGAAGGAACCCGGAATAATTTTGACTTGTGCACTATAGCCTATCCTATGGTCTCTGGAGGCTATTGCCCTTCGCAAAAATTCTCCGCTGGCAAATTTATTGCAGTACTAGGTAATTTGTTTTACAGTTTTTAACACTGACGGTGGCGAACGCACTGCGAGCTGTGGATCGAGTTTTCAGGATCGTCAGTCGACACGAAAGGGAAGCTCTCGTTCACGTCTTATCAGAGGGACTGAAAAATTACCTGTACCCTCCGAGTACCCTCGGTCCCATCGTCAAGTCGTTGCACAACTACGAGATGGTCATTCTGAACGACAGTGACCAAGTGAAGACCCTGTTTTTGAGGCGCCTTGAACAGTGTGACGATGATTTCACCAAGTACATGGAAGCTGGATCCGGAGAAGAAATTCTCGGTGAGAGAAGCGAATTATTTTAAAGGCAGATGAGCGAGGAGAAATCTGGAGCAAGTTGATCGTGGGAAGAATTTCATCGAAGTCAACATGGAGAAGCTAATGTTTGAATGTACTGAAAGTGGAAGAAAGTCGTGTAAACGTTTTTCACTCGCGTAATTTTCCTTTCGAATTTCAATATTTTTGTTTGCAATGATGAGAATCCGCAGTTGATTGGTGATTGGCTGCGTAACAATTTACAGTATATTCAATAACTACGAGCTTTTCAAGCTTGACCGTATTTCTTTAAGGACTAGTGATTATAAAAAAAATCAAATTAAATTCAGGAATTCTGGCTCAAGCCGCATTTACACTGAAATCTGATGTTTAGGATGTGCAGAAATTAATGGTTGCCCATTTTCGAGACGTACTGAAGCTTGCAGGGTTTACTTTTTTCGTGACGAGTTGGAATTTGATTATATTTTTAAATTTATTACAGAAAATGAAGGAGTGGAGCAGTATTCCGAGCAGATGAGGATCCGGTGCATGTTCACAGTGACCCACATGTGCGCCTTGTACAATGAGTACATTTCGAACGATTTAAAGCTGCTCAAATTACTCAAGGAGTACGCATTTGGAGCCGGTTCCAAGGATTATGTTGGATCACCTGCAGAACGCGCGCGATTCCTGGCTGCTGTCCTTGTGGCCTTGGGCCAGCTCGCTGTGCAGGACGCAGACCTGGCCAAGAAGTGTGTGAAAAGGTACAGGGCGCTGTGCAAAGACCCGTGGTCTACTGTACGTGCGAATGCAGCCTCTGCACTTGGGGCCATCATGTCGAGGTGAGAAGCATTTCCAAGTTCTTCGGAAACGTGGAAAATTGATGGGTTAGCATTTTCTGTGATTTTTCCCGGACGTCGCAATTATCTTTTAAGTTTCCTAGATGTCGCATCAATCTCTTATTTTGTTGAGTTCATCGGTGTTTTTCAATGTCGATCAGGTGTCGCCTGAACCACGAACCTGAGCAAAATTCTCCTAGTGAGACATGAAATTAGATGACCTTATTTTACTTGCAATTTTCGAGATATTTGAGATTGCGAGTTGAGAATGGAAGAGAAGGACATCTTCAATCCGAAAATGATTGGTTTAGGCACCGTGTGATTCGTTTCGGAATGTTCACGTGAAGAAGTGTTTCAGTAGAGTACAGTACTTAGTTTAATGTGCTTGGCAATGACGTTTCTTGAATTTCTCTTTTTTCTTTTTGCTCAACAGTCATCAAGAAGTGAACGTGAGCGATCTCTCGGACATGTATTCGTTGCTTTTTGATACCGATGTTCATGTGCGGAGAACCGTTCTTTCAATTGTTATCGCACTGCTGCAACAGGAGTACGTGAAGGTGGGTTCTTTCATTATCAATTCACGCATTGAGTTGTCTTTTCTGGAGTTGTTTTTTTATACAGTTAACCAGAACAAAGAAGCTTGATTCTAAATTTGAGATTTTGTCACCAAAATCTCTACGGAACCGACAGACAAGACATTAGTACTTTATTAAAATCTGTTGGGAAATACTTTCAGACACAATGGAAGAATGGATCTTTTCGTATCTACTTTTCATAAGCGTTTTTTTTTGGATTGTCAGGCTTGGGTCCTCTGAATCGCAGTCGAGCTTCTTCAAGTTGAATTGAAAGGGAAAGAATCTTGAAATTCGAAAAAAGTTCATGCTGTACTGTATTAATCATTTGAATTCGTGATGCTGGATGATGATTTGTTTCCTTGTTATGATTTGCAGCCGTTTGCGGATAACTTATTTGAGAAGCTGTTGCGTTGCACTCAGGACTCCGACCTGGAAATGGCCACTTCCGCTTCGTATTACCTCACGCAAATGATGCGGGACAAATCGCCGAAAGTGTTTGGAGCCCGTTTGCCCGGAGCTGTGCAATTGTTCAACGGAATTCAAACTGAAGCCGTGCAAATGAGTCGAAAGAGCAACTTTTCAGACGACCGCGTGCCAGACAGCGAAACCAGGCGAAAAATTTACATGTTGATGGCCAGCGAGATGGACGATGTGACCAAGTTGAAGGTCATCGATTCCTTGGTCACCAAATTCCTGGGTCAGTTTGCATTTTTTGGGCTTCGAGTTCGCCAGAAACCGCAAAAAAATATTGTACGCCTCGGCATATTTTTTTTAAAGCATTGTATTTTTTATAGCGGAAGAAATGTTGGTGCAATTTTCTGTGAAATTGTGTCACCGAAGTACGCGAAACGAATTCCTCATCCCTTAAATTTAAATTACACGAATGCACTGGGTCCCTGAATGACGAAACTTATCCGTTCTTGGGTGTGTTTCGTTGTGCGGAATCTTCCTAATGCGATACGAGATTTTCCTGAGGGTTGAATTATAAATTATTCAATTCGTTCCGGACACTCATGAGCGAAAAGCCAAAATTGGATTTAAAACTAGTTTTTTCTTACTTTTTGCATGCAAATTTGAATTTATAATTTATTAGTATGAATTTAACCTGATGAATATGTGCTCTGAAATTTCTGAATTCCTCAAAATTTAAAAACAAAAAGACGCAAAATGATACTTCATGTATATCCTTATTTTCCGAATTTTTTATTTTGAAAAGCGCGAAGTTTTGAAAAAGTGGTCAAATTCCAGTGTTTTTGGACCAAAAAATTTCGTTATGTGAGTCTCTTTTATCCCCCATTGAAAGAAATTCATCTAGCGAATTTTTCGTTGCGTGGGTCTTGCGTTATGCGTGGACGTGCTGTATTTTCCGTACTTCTAGAAGAGTTGTAATTAGGTTTTCGGCGTATTCCTCTTGGAAAAAGTATTTTATATGCCCATGTCATTATTCATTCGTACAACCGATTAGCTCTCGTATCCGGTGTCTGTGCATTCTCCTGTGCTGATTTTAGTTCTGCATTTTTTTGTTTCTCATGTAGGGAATGTTTCGAAGGCGCCTGAAAGATTGACGGAGAAAAACGAACCTGTCATTGAGGATTGCTTGCGGATCCTGGCTTTGAAAGAAATGCAATTGTCTCGGAAGAGCGGCGAAGCCGCAGTCCCGGAGCCGTTGGAGGAAGGGGATTCCAGGGTTGCCAGGAGTGTTGAGAAAAATGCGAAACGATTGGAAATAATCAAGGTGAGTTATTCGGGATTGTGAATCTCCATTCCGTTCTTTTTTTTTTGTGGCTTATTTTGATATCTGTATCTGTTGAATCGTCAGAATTACGAGAGTCTGATGCAGGGCACGATAGCACCGACGCTGATTGACCTCCGGAAAGTCCTCATGAGCGTCAAGCATCCTTTGCAACTGCATCTGAACAGATATCTGTTGGAGCTTTACAAGTCAAACAAGAAGAAGGTACGAGCTTTTCATTCACAGTCGAACCTCTTTGAGTCAAGCTTCAAGGGACTAGCGAAAAATTAGAGTTATTCAGGTTTCGATTACGACGAAGAAACATTTTTTGTTGGTGGTTAAAAAGAAAGAATAATTACAGGAAATGGCCACTGGACATATTATGGGCCTTAAATTACTTTTTAGGTGAGTTGAGAGGATACTGACCTTGAGAGGAAGGGTTTATTTTCCCATCATTTCTTCACTTCCTTCCAAAGCGCATAAAGTTACATTTTCAATGCTTTTCTTTTACCTGTTTCAATGAATAATGACCGAAAGACCTGTAGAAAATTCGAGTTATGGATGTTTGAAGGGAAAGCCTTCCATTTTGGAGGCTTTCAATGGATTGCTTCAAAGGGGATTCATACATCAACTTGGATAGATTTGAATCATTGAGGTTTAACTGTATTTTCAACGAGAATTCACCGTTTCCCCGGGAAATAAGTCCCAGTCGAAAAGTGTTTTTCTTGATTTACTCGCGTTGTTCATAAAAAAGATAATTTTTCTCAATTTGTTCGAAGTTTCAGTGTTAATTTGATTCTTTCCTACAGACGGAAGACTTATTCAAAGACGAGCCGAAGATCGTACAGGAACTTGAACGCCTTTGCAAACCGCACGGAGATTACGATTATTTGTCGCTGTCGGAAAACGGGGAAGAAGACGAGTCGCATCCGGGGGAGTCGTGATTTTGTACCTCAAACGCTTGATGTGTGATGAACCCGGAGTATGGGTTGAAAAGGTTTTTTTGTGTGTTTCCTTTTTGTAATCCTTGCTCGGAGTAGCCCGACCCACCTTTAATTGTGTTCTTGTGTTGCAAGACTTGCAACCATTGGCATCTTTTCTGGCAGTTGAAAGGCTGATCTTGGAAGATAGGTTTTCAGAAGAGCAGATCATACGAGTACATGTACATTTTTTTCATGCATTAAAATGCTTTTTCATGTTTCTCCGTCGAAAGTATGTTTTCTGAAACAAGGTAGGAAATGTTGAATGCATTTATTTCGTTGTTGATAAGAATTAATTTTTCCCCGGAGGATTCTGCTTTCGAAAAGTAAGACTTCTTATGACAACTTCGAGATTCCATGTACAATATTAGTGATTCGATAGGGTTACTGAATTACTGTACTCATTATTGAAGGGGTATAGAACATACCACAATCTTACATATTATGTTACTTTTGGCTTGGACGCGAAGTGATTTTTCCATGTTGATTTAATCATTAATTATCGTTTGAAAGATAAGGGAAGAATGCATAACACGTATTCGAAAAAATTTAAATGATGAATTTTACCGCCATTAGGGCTGTAGCAGCGATGATAACAGCCTTTACTTCAGTTTAAGTCTTCCTCCTTGAATGTTTGCTAATGGTTGGGCAAAGTGCTATACTTGACTTGACTAAGGTATGGCAAATTCTAGAATGTGTAACTACAGTACCTGGGGTTCGGGCGTGAACCAGCAGGGAAACCTCGTTCTCTGAAGTGGAAAAGGAATGAAACGCTTCTGAAGCACCGAACTGTGCATGATATTATGAATGGAGCGCTTGTTGAGACATGATTTACGCTTAGTTTTTGATGTTTTCAGTGTCTTTGAAGGACTGCAGAAATACATTTTGTATGATTTTTTGCAAGTCCAAGTTTTGTCACAATTAATGACATTGGTGGTTCATTCAATAATTGTTTTTCATTTCTTACTTTTTTCTTCTATAGGCTGAGTGGAGATGTGAATATAACCTTCTATAGTGGATTCCAGAGGGGTCCAATTCGAATCATGGAAGGTCAGTTATGCGCATTCCTAAATTTTTTATGGAAGAGATGTGCTAAGATTTGACAGGATTTATTGAATGCTGATTTAGCAGCAATGAGGCAATGCAACATAAGGTACACTGCTGAAGGAAAGTTTCCCCAGGAACGATAATTTCTTTTTCCTAAATTAAGAACAGTTGGTGCGCATTTAGAGTACCTTTGAAATATTCCATCTCTAGATTTGGCAAATTGACTCAACCAACAAAGGGTGAGGGGTGTGTGTAAAGCAACGAAAAGGAAAGGGATAATGAGACAGAAGAAGTTGAGACTTGGTGTGATTTGATGGAGAGATATACTGTGCATAATGTAAAAAAAGGGGGGATGCCCAACTTGTGACTGAGTTGAAGCAAGAACACTATCCACTGAACACTGATGTTGTTCGACCGTGGGAAAATTACTGTAATGTACTAGAATAACTAGATTCTCACCAGTAGGATTACAGTCCTGGAGCTTCGGCCTCTTTTGTGAATGAGTTTGTAAAACATATCGGACCCACGTCCTGTAAGTCCACTGTTCGCACCGGTTGGTATCCCTGGTGAAGTAGCCGCCATGTCAATTGAGTTCTCCGGAGCGAGATGTGGCGAGGTTGCAGTCCGCCCCCGTACAATTAACTTACGAGGCTTCTTTTACTTCTCCATTGCAGTGTCCGTTTCATTAATTGCCTTGAAGGACAGTGTTGGATTGTTCAGACTTTCGGATATTACAGCGGCTTTCGGGTGAATCACCGCTTCGGGATTTGATTCTAATCTTCGTGTCGATGGATTCGGTTTCCAAGTGTCGTAATTTCATTGTTATGGGATGACTTTAGCCTTTTATACATGCTCCGAGATCTCGACATTACTTCTGAGGTTTCTTTTTCGTTGAGCCTCGGAACATCTAGGAAAGTACACGAGTCAATTCTATCGGTGAGGTTGACCGCGAAGTCCGATTAATATGTCGTCCGGAGAGCAGATGAGCCTCCGTGGCACCCTCAGGGGTCACGATGGATGGGTTACCCAGATTGCTACCAACCCGAAGTTTCCCCACATGATCCTGTCAGCATCCCGCGGTAAGTTGCCGATTTCTTTCCTTCGAACCGACTATGACTTCCGAATTCCTACGATTCAGATAAGACCTTGATCATGTGGAAGATCCTCCGCGACGAGACCAACTACGGGATCCCTCAAAAGCGATTGCACGGACACAGCCACTTCGTCACTGACGTGGTCATGTCAAGCGATGGACATTTCGCATTGTCTGGATCTTGGGATACTACCCTGCGATTGTGGGATCTCACTAGTGGTCGAACGGCCCGGAGATTCGAATCCCACACCAAGGTAATCTTTGCATGTTCATCTATGCTTGGTTGAACTGCTGTGTCTGAATTCGACTTACGGATATAGTACGTGACTTGTTCTTTTAAAGGACGTGTTGAGCGTCGCCTTTTCGGCTGACAACCGTCAGATTGTGTCTGGTTCCCGAGACAAGACGATCAAGTTGTGGAACACACTAGCGCAATGTAAATACACCATTCAGGAGGAAGGCCACTCGAGCTGGGTGTCCTGTGTTCGCTTTTCGCCGAACAACCAAAATCCGATCATCGTCTCCGCCGGCTGGGATAAACTCGTCAAGGTAAGAAACTTGTTTTAAACTCTAGGGAAAGTGTCTCGCTTCCATGTTCTGCGTACTTTTTTCAGGTGTGGAACTTGACCAACTGCAAGCTCAAGACGAACCATGTGGGACATCAAGGATACTTGAACACGGTAACTGTCTCTCCGGATGGTTCTCTGTGCGCGTCCGGCGGCAAGGACGCCAAGGCGATGCTTTGGGACCTGAACGATGAGAAGAAACTGTACACGTTGGATCATTCGAATATCATCAACGCGTTGTGCTTCTCGCCAAACCGTTATTGGCTCTGCGTTGCAACTGGCCCTACGATTCGTATCTGGGTATGTTCACTATTTTATTTTATCACAGTATTTCTCTCAACGGGCGATACTCTCGTTCGTCGTGATCTTCGGCGAATGGTTAGCATTAGGATTTTCGCGGCTGTGAACGGTTTCACAATGTTTCAACATTCAAGCCCAACCGGAATCCTTGCCTTGTGCAATCTTTCAGCTTCCTGAATACCGTATTGTGCTTCAGATAACTTTTGAGCACTGGGCTCATGCATTCAGAGCGTTCAGATAATTGCAGTAGTTTTATTCAACTTCGACGCCAGATTCAGATAATTACTTTCGGAATTTTATGAACCGATCTTTGAGCGATATCGAAGGATCTTCTCTGAACGGAAGTAGAAGAAAGTACTATCGATTACGATTCTACTCGAAGCTTTCCGAACGCTGGATTTGGTGACTCCTAGGTGTTGATCAAGTATTTTTCGATGTTCCGCGTGGTTATCAGTTGCTGAGTTCGTCGAGTTGTGATCAGTTAACTTCGGGATTTTTAGTGCGTTTTGCCCATTACGGTTTAACCTCGATAAGTCGAAGCTTCTTAGGTTAAATACATCCCTATGTAACAATATTTTCGAATCCCTGTTTGAATTCCCTTAAAATATATGCTTAAAAATCTCCCAAACTCCAAAGGTTTTCCCTTTGAACGTCCATAACCCACATTTTCTGCAGGTCTCGTGGCTATTACTCTATTGACACAAGAATACAAAAATTAATGAAAATGTAACCTGATGAGTTTTGGAAGGAAGAGAAGGACTAATTGGGCAGATGAACCCTTGTTTCGGAGTTCATCATGTTAAACTCATCTAAGAGGCAATGATAATCCCCAATTGAAATTTCTTCTGATTCTTCATTGTTCCCTGAAATGGTAGCTTCCCCAACTCGAAACCTCCCGAACCTGATATTTTGCTGGCCCTTTGAAGTTCGACTCAAAGGTTTTGACCATTATCATCGCGTCATTGACTCATGGTTGATGTTAATGTAAGTGCTCAATTTTTAAAATTTTATTTTTGAAGGATTTGGAAGCGAAGCAAGTTGTCGACACCCTTACACCCGAAGTTGTGTCGCGGTCGTGGAAGGAGAAGTTGCAGTGCCTCTCAATGGCGTGGTCGTCGGATGGCCAAACTCTTTTCGCTGGGTACTCTGACAACTTGATCAGAGTGTGGCAGGTGTCCATCGCCGCCCGCTGATTGATAATTGAAAAAATGAGAATGTGGAAAGTTTGAAAATGCAGTGCGCATGGAACTGCCGAAGAAGCAGGGGCTTCAATTTCATTGCTTATGGAATGCGTTGGTGGTGGTTTTGGTAGCGGTGGTGTGTGCTTACGCGGTTCCTTTGTTTCAGATTCTAATTAGACCCTCCCTAGTTTTTCTCTACAGCAATGTACGCAGGAGAGTATTTATCGCTTCTCGGAACCCTTCGGGGTCACGATGGTTGGGTCACTCAGATCGCCACAAATCCCAAGTATCCCGACATGGTTTTGTCCGCGTCTCGGGGTGAGTAAGGAAGATTGTAACACGACAGCAATTGAGATGCAAACAATTGATGAATTCGAAGTAGTGTCGAAATCAGAGAGGGCCATGAAAAAAATTTAACATTAGGAGGTAATTTGACCTAGGGAGGTATGAATTCTCCAGATTCAACTGTAACTAAGAAGTTGTTACTGACCTCACAACCAACAAACGACGAAAACAAAATTTCAGTTTGCGTGGTGATTTGCAGATAAGACCTTGATCATGTGGAAGCTGACGAAGGATGATCGGAACTACGGAGTGCCGCAGAAGCGCTTTCGTGGACATAACCACTTTGTAACTGACGTTGTACTGTCCTGTGATGGTCACTTTGCTTTGTCTGGTTCCTGGGACAAGGACTTACGTTTATGGGATTTGACCAGTGGGAAAACTGCGCGTCGTTTTGAAGGACATACGAAGGTGAGTATAGTAAAAGAAAAGCAAAGGAAGTATTTTCAAGCGGAAATTCAGACTTCATTCAAGGATTCGGTTCTGCTCTTTTAAACGGAACACCGAGTTTTATTTTTTTGGCCCACTTGGTGATCTACATCTTGGGTCAAAGGTTAGGTTGTCCTTGTCTTGATGAATCACAGGCGATGAATATGACTCGGACACTGGATCAGATATAGATGTACTCCCTCGACAAAAAATTTCATGGGACCCCTATAATATGGGGGAGAGAACCGTAAGGGGGGGGGGAATGTTGTGCAGTGTAAAGAGAAAATTGTTGTAGACGAGATTGATCTTTCGCGCATTTTCCCCCTCAAAGTTCGATAAAAAGGTGGGTGAGGCTTGTAGGCTGGTTTACGAATTTGCGAGACTTCTAACAGTTTAGGTCCATGTCATACTTGTGGAAACAACTGAAGAATAATTGTTTATATGTGTGATTCATGATCAAATTCGAATTCTGGTGTGTCCTATCTCTGAAATACTGCATTTCCTCAGTCGCTAGAACTGTGGAGTTTTGTCTTAATTCGAGATACAATACAGTTGAATAAAAAATTTCAGGATATCAGCATTTGTGTCAGGCTTTTTTTTTTGTCAAAGTGTCCCAGGTTAGGTCATTTGCTGTGAAGTATGGTTGCAATTTTTGTAGCTGTTCGGCGTGGTCAGTTTTCCAGGGAAGAAGCAATGGATTTTGTTGACCTTATGGGTTGACTGGGGGTTCTGACGTACAGTATTCAAGTTTTGAATAAGGATGGAAAGCTCTCATCTTCGCAGTTTCCAAGTTACACTATAAAGCATTCAGTGGAAAGTTCTCTGTGCAGTTTCTCTCCAGTAAAAATGGTTTTTGAAATTCGAGAAAATGTTAGCGTGACCAACTGATTCGCTTTCTTAAATCTCATTTTGTTTCGGTCCATTCTTCCTCAGTGACCAATTTTTAGAATTCCTTTTACATTGCCTTCGAAATTTGTTCGATTTGTGGAAGATATTCACTAATTATTATACACAGAAGAGCTGCTGTGATTCTTGAAAGGTTGTTACCGTGTTGTTGTAGTTTTTGTTGTGAAGGAAATCTGAATACTACTTGAATTATTACGTTGGGTGGTGTTGACATTACATAGTTTCCCCCCGACGTAATGATGGGAAACGATTTAGGACGTCATGAGCGTGGCGTTTTCGGCGGACAATCGTCAAATCGTATCGGGTTCTCGGGACAAGACGATAAAATTGTGGAACACTTTGGCCCAATGCAAATACACCATCGGTCAGAACGAAGAGTGCCACAATGGCTGGGTTTCAAGTGTTCGCTTCTCGCCGAGCCAGGCTAAACCCTTGATCGTTTCTGGCAGCTGGGACAAGACTATCAAGGTGATTCCAGGCGCGGTCGGTGAAGTTCATAACTTCCTGACTTGTTATTGAGATTAATTTCTTTTAGGAATCGAGTTTATTTTATTAGTGCTTGGACAAGTGCGGAGATTTTTTGTTCAGCAGTCCCTCCAACTCAAAGAGGGCCTGCGAATATTCAAGTATTTTTATTACGGTAATATATACACAATCCCCGATGGAGAAGAGCCTATTGCGTGTCTTGCAATTTTGCCGTATGACTTTTCCACGATTCTCGATGTTGAGATTCCGAAATTCTATGTTTTTGAAAATAACTCCGTAATATTTCTGGAAGAATTATTTGCTGAAATTTATAGAAAAGTGGACGAATTTTAATGCATAAAACGTTGATGTATCGTGAACTAATTTCATCGTCTTGAAAATTGAAAATACATTTTGCTATAAATATATTATATTGTTAATTTGTGATTCATAATACAAAAGGCTTATTTTGTTCTTCAGATTCATCTATGCTCTGAATAGCGAGACTTGTGCTTTGTTCTACGCTTTTTCAGCTCCTTTTCCTGAAGAAAAATCAGATTCTGTCTGGTTTTCTTCTGCACAGTTATTTTCTGTATCTTGAAGTTGAGAAAACAAGGCATTCAAATTTTCGGGGGACGTTTTATTAATTTCTGATGAACAGAAGACCCAATTGACTATATTTCCATTAAATTCTATTGGAAAATGTTATTCAACATGCGGATGATCCGACGTAGGGACAATAGGCCCCTAAGCACAGATTATGTTCTCGTCTCGGGGCCCCACTGTGCTTAGAATACTGTATAGTACTGGTATTTGATCAGAATATCATTCCGCTCATTATTTGTGATGTTTTCTTGGTATTGCTCAGGTTTGGAACTTGACCAACTGCCGACTCAAGAACACTCAGTGTGGCCATCAAGGGTATGTAAACTACGTGGCGGTGTCTCCCGACGGTTCTCTGTGCGCTTCCGGTGGAAAGGACATGAAGGCCATGCTGTGGGACCTGAATGACGACAAACTTTTGTACACGTTGGATCATTCTGAAATTGTGAACGCCTTGTGCTTTTCTCCCAATCGTTATTGGCTGTGTGTCGCCGCTGGACCGGTCATTCGTATTTGGGTAAGTTTTTTTAGTGCAGGTATACAAAAATCTTCGACTTCTAATCATAACTTGAAAGCGGACGTTGGGAAATTGAAAATTTTGAAAAGTTACCGGGCCTGATCCTATGGGGTATACTGGGAAGGAGTCGAGCTGGGCTATCTCATGAGCAAATGTAAAAAGGGTTTGCCTGGAAAGAATGATGAATGAGATCTCATTGAATTTTCATCTGAATTGTCTGGCATTTAATGGCGTTTACAGTGAGTCACCGCCTTACGAAAATTCATTTGAGGAAGAGCATGGCTCATTTAACGAATTTGTTCGGCTGAAAAATGCTCAAATTTTGGAAATTTTGTGCTGTAACTTGGGAAAGTTTGAAAATAATCGATTGAAGTTATAAAGGAAGGTTTGCCTGATGATATTTTTATAATTTGTGAATTTCAAAAGCCAATAGCGTAAACTTATTGTCAGGATTTCTTGAATTCCGCAATGATGAATTTGATACTGCAAGCATGAATTTCTGCTGAAAACTATTGAAAATGTTCTGTTTTTAAGGCTTATTATGGGGTTTCAGTGAGTTTATTGCACGAATTGTCCAATTCATAATATAATTTTGAGGGAAATCGGGTTTCGCTTTCCAAAAATTCACACAACCGGAAACGAATTGCAATAGTTCCATTTTTGAGGACTGAATACTTTTCATTACTATGTTCAGCACGCGCATGCGACAATATTGAACTCATTGATGCGAATCCGTCGTGGAAATTTGGATGAAGGTTGTTTAAGAAATCTTGTTTAATATTCATTGATTTTTCTCTTGAGCAATAAGGGAATAGGCGTGGCAATCCGTGTCAGGTTTGAGAGGCGTTCATTTTCCAGTGTGTAGCCAACGAAAAAACGTGATATTACGCAGCAACCTCTCTTAGATCGGATGTGCGATGTCCGAAAGAATTTCTTTCAATGATTTTTCCTCATGATTTCAATCACTCCAATTTTTCCAGGACCTCGAAGCCAAAAAAATTGCTCACGAGCTCAAGTTGGATGTGATCTCAGGGTCGAAGAACGTGCCGTCGCCTGAGTGCTTGTCTTTGTCTTGGGCATCTGATGGACAAACCCTTTTTGCGGGTTACTCGGACAACCTGATCAGGGTTTGGCAAGTGTCGGTCTCGGCCCAGCGAAATTCCGGGTTCTAAATCCGCGTCGCGAAGTGTTCATTGAATTGAATTGACCCGCGCGAATGAAATAAATGGAACGCGTGTTTATTCTCGTGGTTGGGCTTCATTGATTTTTCGCTTGCGTTTCCTTTTTTTTTGGATTTCGTTTCAGTACTTTTTTTTTTACAATTTTTTTGTGTTCTACAGAGAAATAGTGAGCTTGGTTTAGTTGAATGAAGCTGAGAATTCGGGAGTTCTTGTGGATCCGAGTGCTTTTTGGTGGTAATGGTGAAGACGCGTTCCCTAATAATGACTTCATGTTTTCCTCGCCTTCGGACTTTTTTTTCTTAACGTTTGTCTTCATGTAGTTGCTGATTTCAGCCAATTTTTTCTCAGCGTTCGCCTTGATGTAGTTTCCCTAGTAGTGATCAGATTCACCCGTGCGCATTTGAAGCGTTGCACTGTTCAAAATTTCAACGGTTAATGGTCGTGATCTTTTTGACTGTGAAGCTTTTCATTCGAAGTCTGACGGAACTGAGACTAATTTGGCAAATTAACCTTTTCCTCAAAGCTCCGAATACTGTAATGTTAACTCATTTGACAAGCAATTGAAGGCCTGTATTATCGCCCATTGCAATTCTTGCGATTATTCTTATTACTCCCCCCCCCCCCCCCAACATGGCTGCATGGTTTCTCGGGGTCGAAACCTCACCACAGCAGTTTGATTTTTCTGGTCCCTTGGAGTGAGGATTTGACTACTGGTTTACAGCCAGTGCCACGTGGAGCCCAGGGGGTCCTGATGAGTTTCTCAGGGGCCCCCGCGACTCTACTCCAGAAGAGTGGTGTTGAAATTTCCAAAATATCCGGAAGAAGCTAATACTGCGAGAACAAGTGACATTTGCACATTTTGCATGATCAGCAAATTGCGACTACAGTACAGTATTGTCTGCAACTCGGCGAGGATTCCCGGGGGTTTCTCCATAATATCTGATTTTTCAAAAATATCTCCGCGAGTCGGCAAGTCTTGAGGAAATACAAGGGTTCTAACAAAAGTTCTTGGAGTAGCAATGAAAATGGCCTACAGTTGAGCTGAAAAAAATTTATTCTTTAGGGAGTTCTTTGGCACACCAAAAGATATCAGCCCTATTTGACTTTTTTTTTTAATTTTTTCATGATTCACCCTGGCAGAGTTTTGCTCTCCACTGAAAAGATGGGGCGCCGTTTTTTTGTTGTAGCCCAGCTTTCCCCTCAGAATTTTTGAAATCAAAATGACATTCTTTCTTAGGGTTGCCTCCAGGTCATCCAAGGCAATTCTGCCATCTTCATTGACAGTCGCCAATGAGGCGGCTGTGAAGGCGGATTTTGATGAAAATGGCGGAATTGCCTTGAATGACCTGGAGGCAATCCTTAGAAAGAATGCCAAGCTGTTTTAAAAAATTCTGAGGGGAAAGCTGGGCTACATCAAAAAAAGGGCGCCTTGTCTTTTGAGTGGATAGTAAAACTCTACCAGGGTATATTATGAGAAAAATTCAAAAAAATTTGTCAAACAGGGCTGATATTTTTTTATGTGCCAAAGAAAATGTTTTCCCTAAAGAAAATTCAGGTCAACTGTAGGCCATTTGCATTGCTATTCCAAGAACTTTTGTTAGAACCTTTGTTTGTTCAGAATGCAATTGGAGATTATCGGGAAGAAATCATTACGGTTCATTATCTAGTAACTCGCACATGACAAAAGATCGGGAAATGGTTGTGGCCGAAAAAATGAGCTTTCACCAATTCATGTCTGTAACTCTCCTCAATGTCTCCCAAAATCAAATTTGATTGAATCAAAGGGAGATTCAGTTGCGATCCATCTTGAGAGAGGGCTCCGCGAGTCAAAAAGATTGAGAATATCTGTCTTTCAGTGTGTTCGAAATGCTTATCTTGACTGTTATTCATTAACGCCCTTATCTGACACCACGCGTGAGTTTAGATCGACGTATTGAAGGTTACCTTGCATCCAAGTACAGTTCGAAGAACGGATAGTTTCCAATTAAGAATGTCTTTTCCATTCCTCCAGGGACTTCAAAACCTCTCAGTTCGTGTCGCGGATTCGTCATCCCGCCGATAGCCAACAGCAGAATCCTCTGCGAAACGCCGAAAAGGCACCTGAGAACCAGTTTTTTCGGAACCATGGCGGCGACTTCCGCTCAACCCGTGTTTTCCCTGGGCCCTCACACACTCACTGTGCGCATGTCATTGCACGAGGCGAATCGTCAGCGACTGGCGCAGAAACTGAGAGAGAACCCGGAATGTGCCAAGGGATTAGTGGTGCTACAAGGCGGTGGTACCGAGGACCACTTGAGGTACTCCACGGATGCCGGGGAAGCCTTCAGGCAGGAGTCGTATTTCCACTGGGCCTTTGGTGTGTTGGACCCGGATTGGTACGGGGCTGTTGACGTGGATACTGGGAAGTCGTACCTCTTCATGCCCAAGTATATTTTTTCAATTATCCCGATTTGGTTTCTGTTTTCCATTCGAGAAATTTTAGCTCGCATTTTTTGTGGATTTAGTTCCAATTGTACCTCGTTTGAATAACTTCGGAAATTTGAAAAAGAAGGAAAAGGGACTCGCGGAACGATCTTTGTCTCGTCGTGAATAATTGTTCGCAGGAAACTGCGATTTTGGTTTTGAAAAGAAAAACGTAAGTTTCTGAAATACCGTAACTTTCTCCTGTTTTTCAGCTGAGTTCTTGCAGTTAACCCAGCTTTTTTGAAATTTAATAAAAGCCCTGTCTTGATTTTCTCTATAAGAAGCATCAGAGCATTTGTGTAAATTTCCTTGTTTTCAATTATGGAACTATAAAAGGGTAATAAAATGTGTGAGAGAAATTCATTTGTCCTGGCACATTTTGTGGCACCGATGAAGGGTGTTACTAAATCACACAGTATTGTACAAGAGAAAAGTTTACTAGCGGGTTTCTACCATTTGTAAAACGAACTTATTTAAACCCCAGAAGGAACTCTTGAGAATTTATCAAATTATTGATAAATGCTTATGAAGGAACTTTAAGGGTTTCTCAATTGACTGAGAAACCCTTGAAGGAAAAGGGTGGTACAAAATCATGGGTAATCTTGTACAAGAGAAAAGTTTACTTGTTGGTTTGTGCTTTATGTAAAATGAACTTATTTAAAGACTTGTTAAGCCATATAGCTTGTTGAGAGAGAAAGCAGCAAGAAATAAGTTCAAGCTAAAATTTACTATTTTACTCTAATTCAATTTCAATGAATTATATTGAACGGAATGAAAGTAGATTTTTACACATTTTATGTCTTGTAAAAAGCAAAGCTTTTCCTTGAAGTTATGTTTGAGTTTTATGTTACCATCTGCATGAATCTCTAATGATTAAAGGAGAGCTCTCTTACATCTATAAAATTTTCAGAAATGGAAGGTGTTGTGCATCAACAAACGTATTTATTAACAATTAAAATTCATAAATGGAATGTTCAGAATCATCCAAAGTTTTTTTGTGAACATAGGTACAGCACATGATTCATTCCCAGGGATAACCTATTTGATATTTAGAAAAAGGGCCTAATTTCCTTGAAATATTAGCTAGAAAGCCTCCAGAAAATTTTGGTTGTGGAGGTTTTTCATGAATTGTTTCTAAGGGAATTCAGACAGGAACTGGAAAGCAATTCGACATAGGGAGATATGCAGCAGTATTTGACTTCGGAAGGAACGAGTTATTAAGGTTCAACTGTACTGTTTCTGGCCTATCCTTCAGAAAAGGAAAGGAATCCTGCTTTTTGGCTAGAGTGGATCTATATTAGGACATATTTCACTGTACCTTGGAAACTCCCTCATGTGCTATGAGTCAGCTCAATTCCCCCTTTCTTTCCAATTTTTTGAAAAAAAAGGAAAAAATAAAATGTTGTGGATCTTATTTTGGTACCGTTTTCAGATTGCACGAGAGTTACGCTATTTGGGACGGAAGAATCAAGACGCCGGAAGAATTCAAAAAGCGTTATGGAGTGGATGAGGTCTACTACTTGGAGGATATGACGAAAGTATTCAAGTCCTTGGGTGCCTCGAAGTTACTCACGCTCAACGGGTGCAATTCCGACTCAGGTGGGTACTTTTTTTTTCCTTTGGGGCCCTTCTCCCGGGAACTGTCTGCTTTTCGGTACAGTTTTCATCAAATCCCGAGGAATTCTTCTGTGATAAAAGACTGGGAGGAGTTCACGTACGGACTTCGAAGTAAATCTTTCGGATCAATTTTTTGCGTAATAGCTGTTAAGGTGATGATGAAATTCAAGTGTGGCAGCACTTCTGATTATTTCAATTGGCTATGAAAGACTGGGAGGAGTTCACGTACGGACTTCGAAGTGAATCTTTCGAATCAATTTTTTGCGTAATAGCTGTTAAGGTGATGATGAAATTCAAGTGTGGCAGCACTTCTGATTATTTCAATTGGCCTCTCTCTTTTTTTAACAGCGACAGTTATGATTATATCCGTATTATCCCTCTGTTCCTTTGCAAAGAAAACTTGCATCTGTGGATTCTTTTGGCTATATCTTTGATCTTTGAAAAAGTTATACAGAAAATATAATTTTTCAAAAGTATTGCAAGTTACCCGAATAGTAGGGGTTTTCTCCATGCACCTCATTGAGGCAAACAATAAGTGATTTTCCACACATCATTTTCAATTTGTTTTATTTTTTTTAACCAATGGCGAGTGAAATGAGTCAATTTGGAATTTAGTACAGTATTTCTCCCACAGTGCAATGTTAAAGAAGTTTGGGGAGACTTTATTATGACAGCTCTTAAATTATCTATTGGAGGAGCACTTCACAGTATGCTACACATTGCTCTCAAAATTATAGTGTGAAATGTGTTAGAAGGTTAAAATCCACGAATCTCAATGAACAGAATATTTCCTGCAACACTACGAAAAGTTTTCGTTGTTACGAGATATTATTGTGCATGTCAGACGTGTTTCTCAAGTCATGATTAATTTCTTCTCCACTATCAGGGAACTGGACGAAAGAAGCCGTGTACCAGGGCTGTGGGGGGGAGTTCAAAGTGGACAACCAACTCTTATTCCCCGTCTTGTCCGAAGTCCGGGTGCGGAAAACCGAGGAAGAGTTGGACGTGTTGCGGTTTGCGGCCCGCGTGTCCGCTGATGCCCATGTCGAAGTCATGAAGCTGGCCCGACCCGGCATGATGGAATACCAATTGGAGGCCATTTTCAAACACTTTGTCTTCTTTTTCGGCGGGATGCGACACGTGGCTTATACTTGCATCTGCGGATCCGGTCCGAACGGAGCTGTTCTTCATTATGGCGGGGCTAATGCACCGAATGACAAAGTTGGTACACTTTGAAAAATGTGGAGATGGACGATACCTCTGATTTACTCGTTTTGTATACGACGCGCGCTTGTCCCAACATTTTCAACAATTTCGTCCGAATCCGCGTTTTGGAAATCATACATTCAAATAACTCCGTTGAGAAACCCCCAGTAAGCCGCCACCCTCGGCAACCGCCGGTTTTTATTTAAAAAAAAACTTCAATGATAATGGCATTGGAAAGCCCCTGAAAACGCCATCCGCCAAAATTATTAACTACTCACGTAAAAGTTATGCTCCTGTCAAATCAATTTCTTCTTCAATTACCCGCCAACAAGATTGAAGTTTTTAGGACTACATAAAAAATAAAAAAACACGAACGCAAAGATGACGTAATTTACCCCTTGATAAAATTTGCTGGATGTACATAATTTACGCATCCCAGCGTTGAATTTGATTGATTTTCTAGAAGAATAAGAATTTTCGGTACTTTCTCTGTACCTACTTTCCTGTCATCTCTATACCTTCCCTCTGACCAATTTAACCTGACCTAACCTAACTTCACCTAACAGCCTCTCAAAATCAGTTTCTGCTTTCTTGGGGTTTCTGCTGAAACTGATTTTTGGAGGCGGTTTGGTAAAGTTAGGTTAAGTCAGGTTATGTTGATTAAAAGATACATGTAACTAACATAACCTGACCTAACTCAACTTTACCTAACCGCCTCCAAAAATCAGTTCCAGCAGAATGCAGAAAAATAAAATTCAGTTTCTTGTAGGTTGTTGTGATCATGAACTTGTCCTAAAGATTTGTCTGGATGGTAGTGTGGTCTTGCAGAGTAGGTACTGAGATAACAGGAAAGTACCAAACAAATTTTTCATTGACTACTCAGCTGCAGAAGGAAACAAGAAGAAAGATACAGTGAATCCCCTGAACTAAAGTGAAGTTTAATTGATGAGAGCAGCTGAATGCACACTTCCATGCTCTATTACTTTGGGGGTTACGTGGTAAATTTCACTGCAGTGGGGGGCATTCACTGTGATCCAGGTCTTTTTCTTGTTTCCTTCTGTAGCTGAATAGTCGATGAACAATTTATTAGCCACCAATGAAGAATTGAAGAGCAAAAGAAAAAAAAATTGCATCCCCCTCCAATGACGGCAAATGGCAGTTCATCTTTTACGAACCAACCCTCGGGTAAGACACGCATCCCAATTTTTCATCCTAATATTTTCAGAAAATTTCTCGCAATCCATTTTTATTGACTGAATACAATAATATTTAAAAAAAAAATGAGAGACACCAGAATTTAAATTGTAGCGTGAATTCCACCTGAATTCAATTGATGTTTTGTTCTTTTGTTGTTGATATTTTCAAAAAGTTCGTGAAAGAAGTTTCCCATTATATTCAAGTGTTCCAACTTCCAAGCACAAAAACTGCTAACTTTTTTTTTTAAATTTTATTCCCGCTTATGACTTGAACCCCTAATTTTTTCCCTCTCAATCTTGATACAAAAATAGTGGGTGAGGTATTCAAATTAATAAGGTACACATGATTTCATAGGGAAATAAATCGAAAGAAAGTGTTCCTCGGTCGAAATTGTCATGCATGGAGGATCTCCTAAAAATTGTTCTACAGTTGCCTCCTGCAAACTCTCATGGTTGACTACTTTCAAGGACATTTTATTTCGTTTCCTCAAATTTAAATCGAAAGGTGAAATCCGTTGTGATAAATTTCGAGTTTTGAAATTTGAAGGGTGTCTTTTTTTTAAAGTTATAGAAGTTTAGAATATAGATGCGTGCGAGGGAATCGATGAAATGTTGCCAGTCACATACGAACTTTCTCGTAAGGTACTTGAGGGAATTATCTCGGTTTTCATCTACTCGAAATAAAAAGGCTAAAACCCAATTTCACACACATTTTTGAACCGCCGAAATAATCATAAAAAAAATACCGTCTTTTTTTTTGGAATTTTTTCATCGTTATTCTTCTCGTGTTTGGCAGGCTTCGATCAATGTGCTGATCAGCTTCATCGAGGGGAAACCGTCGATGAGCAAGAAAGGGAAGAAGAAGGAGGAAAAGGCGAGCATTTTGAAGCGTCCCGTGATTTGCATATGCAACGATGCTTATGCTCCTTCCTTGAAAGCATTGAAGCAGCACGCGTTGATCGTCAATTTCCCTCCGACCACTTCGCACAGGTTCGGATGATTTGAGTATGCCTTCAAATACATTTTTGAACGTTTAAAAAAAAAATACTCAACATTAAAATGAAGCTCTTTTGAGATCGAATTTTTTATAAATAAAAAACAAGCCTGCGTTAATTTGCGCAAGCTTTAATTTTATCGAATTTTTGCTCGCCAATTTACAGTTCGTGGCAAAATTTCCCACCAGCGTCGAATTACAGTTGAACCTCGATAACTCGAACCTACTTATATCGAATTTCGTCGAGTCCCCGTCTGACTTCCCTTGAAAACAATGCTGCAACTAAAAACTTCCCTAAATCCAAGCATTTCCTCCTCAAACGCCCATAACTAGGATTGTTTATCGTCACAGGGAACAGGAAGACAATAAGAATATAGCGATGTCTTTTGGATGCATGTGAAAGACTAATTTGGCGAATGAACTTTTGCGTCCCAGAGTTCAGCATCCTGTCAACTTCACAAAAATGCTCGTTTCTCCAACTCATCGAGTCCGAATTGTTTTGTCACTTGATGTTCGATTCAAAGAGATTTGACTGTTATCATTTTCAGGAATGGAGTTGGATCTGGGATTTTTTTTTTCGGAATAAGATTTTTAAAATGTCTAAAATATTCAAACTTATAAACCGTCAGCAAATTCATCATCCATTCAAGTGTGGTTAGTATACCCCATTTCCTCGCAGTGATGATGAGCACTTTCAACTGCAAAAAATATCATTGCTATAAACTTGTGCGGACTTCAGAAAAAGTTTGTCATATAGAATTTTCCAAAGTTTGTTATAAAAAGATTGCTCTAGCATGTATGTATTTATGGAGGTTTGAGGGGAAAAGCCTTTTACTTACCAAGGTTTTTAATTTGTTGTTTCTGACGGGATTCAGGTGGGGACCTGAAAAAAAAATTGACTTAAGGAGGTTTGAGTTATCAAGGTTCACCTGTATTTAGGTAAAAATAACCTGATGGCCAATCTCAACTATTTTTATTTTTTCCCCCTCAGATTAGCACAAAGGATGATGAAGATTGTCAAAGCACACAAGCTGCGGTCAGACATGACCACCTTAATGTTACTCTGTGACAAGGCGGAAAATGACATTCGGAGTTGTCTGTCGACGCTGGAATTCCTTTGCACGCGAAAAAGAGACGCCTATGTGAGGATGAGTGACATTAGACAGGCCGCAGTGGGACAGAAGGACAGTCACAAGAGCTTGTTTTCCATATGGCAGGATATTTTCCACACGCCTCGACCCAAGTACTGAAACCCCGGGACCTAATTTCTCATCACTTGACGATAATTGATGGCATTTGCGAATGTCTTTTTTTTTTGTTTTGTTTAGAAAACATCTTCCGGGATCCGAAAAACCAGATGGAGGTTCTGAATCCGTTGCAGATACGAAAATGGATACGTCCATGAAATCTAGGTGAAGGATTGATATGTTTTGAATTAATCCGCTATGGGGTTCAGAATAATAATAAATATATTGAATCAATTTTTTTTTATAAATAACTCAGTGAAAGAGTCTGTTCGGAAATTGTGTCAGTATTTTGGGCGGGATTTTGAATAGAAGCTTAATTGATAAATTTCACTTGATTGCTGTAAAAGGACGTATTGCTTTGGATTTCTTACTCGTCTGACAGTCAAAATATGTCTTGAAAGTTTCTTCAGTCGCTTTCAAAGTCCTGAAAATTGCAAGTACGAGTAAGTCAACATTTTTTGCGAACGCAGAATGAGAAGTTGCGGTTTTTATCAGTCTCTTATTTTTTCGTGTGAATCTCAGCTGTTGATGTTGGAAAAGTGCAGGGATGTATGTGAGACCCCCGGATGGGAACATAATTGGTGCATCAAGAGTGTCCCTAGGTTGAATTGTCCCTAAGTCGAGTCTTGTTTTCCCATAGACTTACATTATATAATTTTTAATTGGTGTACTATGGAAGAAATATTCTTCATAATTCCATGAAAAAATTTTTTTTTGCCCCTTGAATTTGATTCAGTGAATATTTTTTCAACCTAATAAAAACATTTGGAGCATTGAATAGCATACCACTGTACGGTTCATTAAATTGTTGGCATCTGTAAAAATGACATCCAAGTCACAAAAAGAGAAGGAAGTCCCTGTGTGCTACAGGTAATTTTTTTTAATTAGCTGAATTGATGGGAAAAATTCAAAAGCATTTTTCTTACATAGATCTTAGGGTTGGAAATATCTGTTTCTTGCAATTAAGCTTAATAAAAGTCAATTTTCCTAAAATTGTAATTGGCAATTTTATCATGCAATGTCCTCATGTTGAGTCAGTGTCCCTATTTCGGGCCATTTTAATGATTTTTTTATTAAAAATTAATGTCCCTATGTCGAATTGTCCCCATGTCGAGGTGTCCGCATGCGGGGGTCTCACTGTATAGGTTTTAATAATGAAAATTACAGTTATTTTATTCAACTTTTGGGAAAGCCAAGGTTGGTGTTCCAGGCCCTTTCGAGATAATTTGGTAGCGTAAATTCGTGCAAAACTTTATTGAAATCGTGTTTAATTTTAGGTGTTTTTTTTTCAAGCCACCGCATTTATTACTTCTTTTCCCAGAAATACTTTTCAAAAATCAGCCATGGCATGTGCTGATTTAGATTTCATATGAACTTTAGAATTCGTGTTCCATTTATTGTTTTGAATGGGAGCTTTTTTTTTCAAACGACTTCGCTTTAAATTAATAACAATTCATTTTGAAGATTTAAGAGATGTTTGGGGTGACGGAAAGTTTTTTTTTCAAGTCTGAAAGTTTGAGTTCTTGTAGATTTCAGAATGTTCTCTGGGCTGTTCAATCATTTGGAGACTATGAGAAGGTGGCTCAAGGCGTGTACGAAAACTTTCTATCTGTGCCCTTCAAAGATGGGAACATGAGATCGGTGAGTTTTGTTTCTTTCGGTGTTTGAGTTTTGAAATTTTGAGTTGCATGTACTGTATTTTTATTTTTTTATGCTCAAGGTTTGTGCGGGAATGGATCGGTTGTGTTTCTCGGACAGAATCGTCAACGTGGTGCAATCGACGCAGTCCTATTCGATGTTACCGTACTTGAACTACACGCTGGTGTTGTTCCATTTTCTTTTTTCGACTTATTCTTGGAGCAAGATCACGTATCCACATCTCGGATTCGATGTACGACGAGTCTTTCTATTCTCCACTCGGGTCTCATGTAACGATCAACTTCCGTTATCTGTATTACAACGATAGTATTTTTTTTGAAGGTTAATATGTAATTTTTTTTTTTAAGTTCCGGCGGGAGTTTGATGGGTGCAATATTTTTAAAATACTCGTGTGAATGAGCAAAAAATAGCGAGCATTCTTTGGAAAAACTGTACCGAAATGTCACACTTTGTTTTAGAATTTAAACATTTTTTCGCTCGTAAAATACTTTTTAATACTGTATCTTTTGTATGTTTCTACGAAGTAATTCAACCAATTTGTGTGACCTTTTTTATGTGAAGAACTGATCATCGTTGAATAATTAAGGGATTTTTTTCAAGGCTTTTGTGGCGGGAACAAAGATCAAGAATGTGCTTGAAAGCATTGCCAGCGATGCCCCTGTTCATGTGAGAAGATGGTGGAGCACCGACACACTTGTCTTGGACATTTTGCCATGCTTGGCGGACATCATTCAGCCAACTTTGCGACCAGTTAGTATTCAGAACAATCAACTGACCGCAGATAATTCAGTATATAATTTATATTATTAGTTTTTTTCTCTGTTTCGCATTCTGAAGTGATAGAATGCGTTTGAATATACTGTATTTGGGTTGGGTGGGGAGGGGGTTTGGATGTGGGAAGGTTGATTGAACCTTGTGAACGCTGAAAAGCAGAAATGAAGCTTTCCGTTCATTCATTCATTCAGTATATATTTTTCTTCAAATAAATACTGTTGGACCTTGTCAAGTGGAACCTCTTTAGGTTATAAACGTACTAATGTAATTCAAATTTCCAGTTACTCCCTGATCAATTCCCCTGAAAACAAAGCATGTTAAATCTCACTGACTCAAGACGTGTTTGGTCAAACCTCCCTTGATAGAATTTTTGAAGAGTTTTTATCCATTTATTAGATTGGAGCTAAATTTTAAAACGCTTTTTCCAGAAAAATGAGATTAAAATTAAATTTTTTTATGCTTTCCCGAGGGATTTGGCATTTTTCTGCCGGTAGAACATGTATGAACAGTTATGATAATTTGGTCGGAAATAAAATAATAGTAATCCCATTTATTAACCGATGTAGCCGAATTCCGTGATTCAGAAACTCTTATTAGACTTGTTTTGTAGTTCCTCAAAATGTGACTTGAAGAGGTTCTGCTGTAATTGAAAATTGTGCTGACAGTGGCTTTCGTGTAACTGCAATGTACAGTGGGTCCCTGAATCATGAAAATAGTCTGTTCCAAATTTTGAAAACATTTTTATCATGAAAAATGCAACATCCCTTTAGGTTTCATTGGAAATGCATTATTCTTTTCTGGCCTAGAACAAACAGCTAACCCGTATAAATGGGTGTTATGAAGCCAGCGATGGGCAAGAAATGCCTGAATTTTTGCCAAGAAAAAGTGCGAGAGTTGGGGGGGGGGGGGGGTTTTTTGCGCAAAATTATATCGATTTTCCAAGATGACCGAAATTATTTCTGAGAAGGTTTTAGTTTAAGTATGCCGACGTTCTTGTGCCTTTGTTTGAATATTTGTCTTGCTTTGCTATTTTTTGTTGTTGAAATTTTAAATGCATATCGGCGTTTTTCTCTAGACCAGAACATTGATAGTGTTCGTAATTATTAAATTTCCGGGTTTCGTGATTCATCTCAATTTTTTTTTTTCATTTGGCGAAACAATTTTCAATCGTTATGATTCATGCTGACTATTGCGGATGACGTGGAATTTTAAACGCAGTGTTTTTATGTGGTGAATGTTTCGTAGTCGTGCCACAGAGCTATTTCTATGTGTATTGAATATTGCATTCAACTTCTGCAGGTGAATACGCACTTGTACACGCCGCAAGAGAAAGCAGAACTGAAAAGAGTGGTGGACATCATGATAGAATTCAACCTGTCTTATCACCAAGAACGGCAGGTTGATGGACAGTACGCGTATCAGCTAGCACCGTAAGTGACCTTACGCTTGTTTCTCTCACTAAAAAAAAATAATAATAATAATAATAATACAAAATCTGTGTTATCCGATATTCTGAAAAGATTTTCCTTCAGAAACATTCTATACCATTAATAGGTTCAGTGAGACCCCCACATGCGGACGCCTCGACCTGCGGACAATTTGACATGGGGACACCTATTTTCCCAGAAAAAATCAATAAGTAAGGCCCGACATGAGGACACTGACTTGACATAGGGACATTTTGTGATAAAATTGCAAATACATTTCATGCCAAATTACAAGAAACTGATATTTCCAACCCTAAAATTTATGTAAGAAAAGTTCTTGGGCATTTCTCTCACCAAATTACCATCCATTATCGATTAAAATTTTTTAATCCTCCAGCATTGAGGGACTTCTACTTTTTTTTCACTTGAATGCTGTTTTTGTAGATGCCAAAATTGTAGTGTACAGTACAGAATTACACTATTCAGTGCTCCAAATGTTCTTATTGAGTTGAAAATGTATTCACTAATTCAAATTTAAGTGGCAAACAATTTTTTCAGGGAATTCTGAAAGAAGATTTCTTCCAGAAAACACCAATTAAAAATTATATAATGTAAGTCTAAGGGAAAACAAGACTCAACTTGGGGACATTTTGACTTGGGGATGCTCTTGGTGCACCAATTACGTCTGCATCTGGGGAGTCTCACTGTAATTCAGAACGCTGAGAATATTCTTTAACAAAACACTTATTTACTAGACCAAATCTCCTCTCAAGACTAATGAACAAAATTTTCAGGAAATGTTCTTCTTGACGATAATTACCGACAATTTTTGTCCAGGCTCTAAATTATATTGGTTTAGCTTTGTGAGGAAAAGATTTGCAGAGGAACTTTCTTTTACCACACAAAAGGCGGAAAATATAGAAGGTTGAGATAGTACAAATTTTGTAACAGGTTTTGATGATTGAGAAAAATGAAACACAGTTCAAACAGCCGGGCTGCGGCCGGCACTTGTTGTCCTAGTTTAAAATGCTATATTGATCAAGACAAGTCCAATTTGAGCAATTGGAAGGAATTTCACAAGCACAAGAAAAGAAACCGATTTTGGAATTGGTTTGAGATTTTGAAATACGCAAATTCGCAAGAGTTCTCCGGAGATCCGCACAACTT